TAGTGTAGATTCTAAATTAAATTGTTCAAATCATGACCCCCGGGGGTAGGGCGGGACCACAATGGGGAATCAAAGTTTTACATAGAAATATATAGGAAAAATCTTTGAAAATCTTCTTCTCAAGAACCACTGGTCCAGAAAAGCTGAAACTTATGTGCACATGGAAGCATTCTGGGGTAGTGAAGATTTCAAAATGTCTAAATTATGATCAGTGGGGTAGGGTTAGGTCGCAATATGTATAACAAGGGGGAAATCTTGTAAAGAACAAAATGGTCAAAGCTTCTCAGGTGAGCGATGTGGCCCATGGGCCTCTTGTTTTAAGTTGGTGTCTTTTAAATTATTCAGAGAGCCCTTGACCAAATATTGAAAAGCATATTTTTATTGACGTTTTTAGATCCATTATTTTTTGTCTCGCGCTTGAAAAGTTGGGGATATTAATTTGGGTCCGTCCGTCCGTCACTCTGTCTGTCTGTAACTCTTTCGTTTCCACACGATATCTCGAGAACCCTTTGAGCTTTCACGATGAAATTTTGCATAGCAACTCACTATGGACTAAAGGAGAACCCTATTGATTTTGAGGTCAAAAGGTCAAGGTCATAAATTCCGTCTGATATAACACTTTCGTTTCCATACGATATCTTGGGAAACCTCTGAGCTTTTGCAATGAAATTTTACATAACAACTCCCTGAGGCCTAAGAAAGACCCCTGTTGATTTTGAGGTTAAAAGGTCAAAGTGTTCAAGGTCGTAAATTTATACATTCTGTCTGTGTGTAAAACTATCCTTTCCGGGCGATATTTTAAGAGGATTTTGAGCTTTTGCAATGTAATTTTTACCAAAACTCCCTAGCACCTCTCTCACCCCTCTCAAAGTGTCCCGTCCCGTTTGATTTATTAGTATTTATTGTATTACATGTCGCTATTTTTAGCACAGGGGCATTAGGAGAGTTATTACTTATAAAACAGGTTCTGGGCGAACTTCATAGTCTTATTACATCTATAAGAACTGTTTAATAAAGGTTAAATTAGACACCATGCATTGTGAAAAATTTTGACAATATCGAACGTGAATATAGTATGAATATACATGTATGTGACTTCATCTTTGCATATAATTTTCGTAAATGTAAAGCAGTTCCTTGGTGTAGTGGTATGTCTTTTGCTTTACATGTGAGAGGTCTCGGGTTCCATTTCTGGACGATCCATTTTCTTTTTTTTCCGAAATACTGTTTTTTTTTACTAAATGATAATATTCAGCATGTGAAATGAAAAATGTACAAACTCATAAAATCATCATTACAGTGTGATAAATATTCCATATAAAAAGAATCTTCTATACACATAATTAAGAATAAGCAATCAAATCTTTATATCCATATTGACATATTTTATTTGCTTCAGTATACATGTGTACATTTAATAATTCTACAAATTCAGTCAGGGGGATCCGACTCCCCCCCTCCCCCCTCCCCAACTGCGCATGGTTTACTTTTTCCCTAAGCGGGGGACACAAATTCTCTGAATTAGCTTGTTCAAGAAAGGGATTCAATTGAATCTTAATAAGAATTACTGTGACAGCTAGTGTATTTGTCTTAAATGAAGTAGATATCGCCATTTTCGTATATCTTTTGCATGGGAAAAAAGAAAGAAAAAAACTGGAATAAAAATATCGTAGAACATCACTGAAAAGCAATATCTGCTATCCAAACAGAACAGCGTCCATCATGTTGACAAAGTGAAAGCACCACAAAACACAATTAATAAACGGATATTGACAGTTTATTGATGTGTAAATAATCAAATATTAGTTGTAACACCTCATTTGATTGGATAAATTATTTTTTGTATAATATAAGTTGCCTATTAAGTTACGTCAAAAACGTATTACTCCACTTGATTCTGAATTATAAGATATGCTCAATTTGAAGCTATTTTAAAGGATAATTTTTCTTATTGTCTACGCTGAAATTTAATTATAAGAAATGAAGCTTCACAGTTTATGAAGCATAAAATTCCTTAAATAATATGAATGATTATATAACTTTGTATTTGATATGAAAGACACTGGGAAGAGATACATGCTCTTATATGAAAAATTTTAAAGAATAAAATAATTTATTTGAATTTCTCTTGTTGCAAGTTCATCTGACTGATGCTCCCAGAAAAAAGAGAGGAAAAAGTAAGTGTACAAAAATTATCATACCTTCTACATTGACACGTACATGTTTTTATTTCAATTGTAATTTTTTAAAATAATTATTAAACACAGTTCTATTGTTTATATCAGTCATCTCAAAACTCAAACATTTAACATAAGTATGCCGATTTCTTTCCTTTTTCTCCTTACTATATTGTTGTTATGCCGACGATCTGATTTGTTTCACAAATGGGGGTTAATAAAATAGAAACGAAATTAGCAAATAAGTCAGGAACGTAACGGACAAGTTTCGAAATTCGGGAAAAAGTATTTTAGATCAAAATATGTTATTCCTTCATGAAGTAATCCACAAACGGGAACTTTAAATGCAAAAACAGTCAAAGTAGGTTTGGCTGCAAAATTGGCCGCAAAGTTATATACGTTTTCTTACATATAATAAAACTGCTTCAACTTGTTTGAGACTTCTTCTAAGCATATTTAAAGTTAACATAGTTTTGTGTTATCAACCCCTCCCTAAACACCAGTAACACGCGTTTTTACGGGTATAATGGTCATTTTTTGACGAATTTTAAAACTTGATCGTGGGTATTAATTGAATGAAATATATCTTGTTATGTTTCATATAAATATTAAATGAAATATATCTTGTTATGTTTCATTTGAATATTTATTTAACATTAAATATTAAAAGGTTTTTAGGTCAACTAAGTAAACTCAGGTGATCTATTGCTATCCGTTTGTCCGTCGTTGCGTCGTGTGTTAACATTTGAACATTTTCAGCTTCTCTGCCGCTCAACCGATTTCAACCAAATTTGGCATAAAGCATCTATAGGTGAAGGGAACAACAATTGTTAATTTCATGATCCCTGCCCCTTTGGACCCGAGGGTGGGGGCCAAAACCACTAAAATTAATGCAATCTTTAAAAATCTTCTTGTTTACTCCTGGACATCACGCAGTCAAACTGTATGCATGATTGTTATCAGCATTGAGTCCTCTACCAAAATTGTGAAATTCATGGCCCTGTGGTCAGGGCTTCTAGTGTAAGGGCGGGGCTATATAGATTATATAGTAAAAATGCATTATTTCTTGTTGAATAATGCTACCTCTTCCAATATTGTGAATTTCATGGCCTTAGGGTCAGGGGTTCTTAAGTGATGGGGTGGGGCCATATAGATTATGTAGTAAAAATGCATTATTTTTTTTTTGAAAATCTTCTGCTCTGCTCCTAAGTATTTAATTAACAAACCAAAAACATAGGTGTTTAATTAGGCCTTCTCTTCCAAATTTGTGAATTTCATGACCCCGGGGTCAGGGGTTCTGGTGTTGGGATGGGGCTCTATCGATTATATAGTGAAAAAAAATGATTCTTTAAAAATCTTTTCTGTTCCTGGGTATTAAACCAGTGAATTTGTACATAGTTATGATAAGGAAGGATGCCTCTTCCAAAATAGTGAATTTCAGGGTCCCTGGGTAAGGGTTTCTAGTGTTAGGGCGGGGCTCTATTGATTATATCTAGTGAAAATACATTAATTCTTCAAAAATGTTCTTTTCTGCTCCTGGGCATTAATTAAACTAACCAAGTACATAGTTATGTTGAATAAGGCTGCCTCTTTCAAAAGTGTGAATTTCGTGGCCCCGAGGTCAGGGGTTCTGGCGTAGGAGATGGAGTTCTATCGATTATATAGTGAAAAAAAACATTGATTCTTTAAAAATCTTCTCCTCTGCTCCTGGGTATTAAACAAGTAAACAATGTAAATAGTTATGAAGGCTGTTTCTTCCAAAATTGTCAATTTCAGGGCCCCTGGGCTAGTGGTTTTGGTGTTAGACAGGGTTCTAATGATTATGTAGTGAAAATGAATGAAATCTTTGAAAATCTGTTCCTTTGCTTCTGGGTATTATGCCAATGATATAAGTACATATTAATGATGATGAAATATGCCTCTTCCAAAATGGTTAATTTCAGGGCCCCTGGGTCAGGGGTACTTGGGGGGATTCATAGTCTGAAAATAAATTTATGCTTGTGACCTATAAGGCCCGTGGGCCTCTTGTTTTTTTTTTTAAATCTTGACAATACCATCTAAATATACATCTACCATACTTTTGAAGAGATATTTTTTGTTTGCAAAGACTTATTCAGAAAGTTTTTCAGAAAGCATTAAGTAAATAAGTAAATCAGCAAAGTAATATATTGTTGATACTGTTGGTACATTGAGTTCATAACAGTCAGCTGGTACAATATTTTCTTCCTTAGATTCATCTTAAGTTTTAACTTGGAAGCATGTTCAACAAACAATGAAATGACTTGCATTTATTTATGCCCATAGTTATGACAATGACTAATGGACAGGTTAAGTTATTGGGTTCTAGATCTTTTAATGTAGATGAAGATGCCTTAAAATACTTTGTAAAATGACTGTTTTCCAATGAAGTAGTTTCTAATCAGAATTGAAGAAGTTTCATGTAATGAAGATGAAAATCTAGCATTTAAGTTATAGCGGCATGATGCATTTTCATGAGATTACATCAGGTTGAAGAGGAAAACTAAGAATTAACCTGACAGCGTTCTTGAAAATACACGTACAAATAGTTTACATTTGTTTTAGTATGAATTAATATAGTTTTAATAAAGCTGTTGAGCATTCTAATATTTATAGTTGTTTTACTACAAAAGTGAGGGTATTTTTTACATAATTTTACAAATGTTTTTTAGAATTTTTATTATATTTATTATTCTAGCAATTGATAATTTATATTTTAAGCAAAGGGGACATACTTACTGCTTTCTCCCTATATTTTGAATTATTAGACAATCCTATTTAGTATTATGTTGGTTTTTTTTTCAGAACGAAGTACCGATCAAGATGATGGCAATAAAGCTGTACCTCAAAAAAGTCCAAAAAGTGAGAATATTTCTCGTACAAGAACCTCATTATGAAATGGATTGAGCATACTGAGAGTATGCTCAGTAACTCTTTTCAAACCTTCATTTTGTAATTACATCAAATTGAGTCTTAATATACTGATAAGCTTGTTTTTAGAGTGGTTTGATTTCTTTATTGATTTTAATAGATCAAGTTAAAGATTGATGCCTATCCCTTTTTCTTCCCCCAATTTTTTTTTGCAGTAGATTTTAAAAATTTTACCGCATAGGAACAATCTTTGAAACCTTTTGTTCTAAAGTAAAAAGTCATGTTTGATAATTTTTTTTTTGAAATTTTATGCGTCAAAGAAGTACCCTCAAATAGAGTATATTCAAGTCTGTTTAAATCATGGCCACCAGGGGTAGGGATGGGCCATATTGGGGATCAAATTTTAACATAGGAATTTAACAGAAAAAAATTTGAAAGTTTTCTTGAAAAATAGAATTCATAAGAAAAAACTTGAAAATTCTCCTCAAGAATACCAAAGTCTTTTGAGTTACATTAATTTAGAAGCATGCTAAGGTATTGTTGATATAAGTTTTCAATCATTTGTATAGGAATATACTATTATAAAAGAATTAAAATTACAGCGACAGCTAGCTTATGTGTTGGAAATAAAGCAGCTATCGCCAATTTCTTATATCATTTGCATGGATATTTTACAAAGAAAAAATAAATTGGAATAAAAGTATCTCTGAACACCAAGAAAAAGCAATATCTGCTATCCAAAAGCTATTATAACATTGTGTTCGATACATAAGACAATTGGAAGAGATGCATACTGTTATTTGAAAAAAAAATATCGTTCAAGGAATTCAGTAATTTATTTGAGTTTCTCTTATTGCAAGTTGATCAGAGTGATACTCCTTCTACATCAAAACAAAAGTCAACAAGAGACAAACTTAGAGAAAAAAGTAAGTGAACTGAAAAAAAGATTCTGGGAAAGTGAAGGTTTAAGGTTTATCAAATGATACCCATTTAAAGAGAAAGCGCATTTTATTTTATATAGGTACATTTGTGAAATATTTCTAATCAAATCTCAAAAAATAAAGCCATTGTTACATTTACAAGGAAGCTTCAGTTAGTATAGAACCTGTTCATCTTGGGTCCCTTTAAATAGATTGAGAAAATGGAATTGTAAATTAGCAAGAGAGGGTGGCAAGAACATTCTAAAATACAAGACATTCCTAGAGAAAGAACTTTTATTTAAAAAAAAATACTTTTAGTCTTTCACAGAAATAGAGTAACTTACTTGAATTTCTCTACTTAGAAGTTGATACTCCAGGCAAGTCAACCAGAGGCAAAGAGAAAGATAAAAGTAAGTATATTGAAATAAAATTATCATGTAAGCGAATAAGCAGTATGGCTGCGAAGGATGTTTGAGTGAGGCAAATAGAGAAAACGTCTTACCAATGAGGGAAATTTGAATCTTGTTTTTTTAAAAAAAAAAAAACACGTTTTAAATCACAAATTAATTGGAAGATTACTTCGAAGACATCAAAATATGTATGTATCAATGAAAAAACTAAAGAAAACATTATCTCTGAACATCCTGAAAAAGCCATATCTGCTATCCAAACGCTATTATAACATTGTGTATGATAATAAGACAATGGGAAGAGATGCATACTGTTATTTGAAAAAAAATATCGTTCAAGGAATACAGTAATTTACTTGAGTTTCTCTTATTGCAAGTTGATCAGAATGATACTCCCTCCACATCAAAAGAAAATTCAACAATAGGCAAACTTAGAGAAAAAAGTAAGTGTACTGAAAATAAATTCTGGGAAAGTGAAGGCTGAAGGTTTATCAAATGATACCCATTTAAAGAGAAAGCGCATTTCATTTTACATAGGTACATTTGTGAAATATTTTTAATCAAATCTCAAAAATAGAAAAGCCATTTTTATATTTACAAGGAAGCTTCAGTTAGTATAGAACCAGTTCATCTTGGGCCCCTTTAAATAGATTGAGGCTATAATAAGAAAATGGAATTGTAAATTAGCAAGAAAGGGTGGCAAGAACATTATAAAATGCAAGACATTCCTATAGAAAGCACTTTTATTTAAAAAAATACTTTTAGTCTTTCACAGAAATAGAGTAACTTACTTGAATTTCTCTACTTAGAAGTTGATACTCCAGGCAAGTCAACCAGAGGCAAAGAGAAAGATAAAAGTAAGTATATTGAAATAAAATTATCATGTAAGCGAATAAGCAGTATGGCAGCTGCGAAGGATGTTTGAGTGAGGCAAATAGAGAAAACGTCTTACCAATGAGGGAAATTTGAAATATATATATATATATATATATATATCACGTTTTAAATCACAAATTAATTGGAAGATTAACGTCTATGACATCAAAAAATGTATGTGTCACTGAAAAAAAACTGAAAAAATTATCTCTGAACATCCTGAAAAAGCAATGGCTATTGTAACATTGTGTTAGATACATAAGACAATGGGATGATATGCAAACAGTTATTTGAAAAAAATATCTTTCAAGGAATTAAGTAATTTACTTGAATTTCTCTTATTGCAAGTTGATCAGAGTGATACTCCTTCTACATCAAAACAAAAGTCAACAAGAGACATACTTAGAGAAAAAAGTAAGTGAACTGAGAAAAAAAAATCTGGAAAAGTGAAGGTTAAAAGTTTATCAAATGATACCCATTTAAAGAGAAAGTGCATTTCATTTTACATAGGTAAATTTGTGAAATATTTCTGATCAAATCTCAAAAATAGAAAAGCCTGGTTATATTGTCAAGGAAGCTTCAGTTAGTATAGAACCTGTTCATCTTGGGGCCCTTTAAATAGATTGAGGCTATAATAAGAAAATGGAATTGTAAATTAGCAAGAGAGGGTGGCAAGAACATACTAAAATGCAAGACATACCTAGCGAAAGTACTTTTATTTAAAAAAATAAATACTTTTAGTCTTTCACAGAAATAGAGTAACTTACTTGAATTTCTCTACTTAGAAGTTGATACTCCAAGCAAGTCAACCAGAGGCAAAGAGAAAGATAAAAGTAAGTATATTGAAATAAAATTATCATGTAAGCGAATAAGCAGTATGGCTGTGAAGGATGCTTCTGTGAGGCAAATAGAGAAAACGTCTTACCAATGAGAGAAATTTGAATCTTTTGTTTTTTTAATAACACGTTTTAAATCACAAATTAATTGGAAGATTACTTCGAAGACATCAAAATATGCATGTATCACTGAAAAAAACTTAAGAAAACATCTCTGAACATCCCAAAAAAGAAATATCTGCTATCCAAACGCTATTATAACATTGTGGTCGATAATAAGACAATGGGATGAAATGCAAACTGTTATTTGAAAAAAATATCTTTCAAGGAATACAGTAATTTACTTGAGTTTCTCTTATTGCAAGTTGATCAGAGTGATACTCCCTCTACATCAAAAGAAAAGTCAACAAGAGGCAAAGTGGGAGAAAAAAGTAAGTGTACTGAAAAAAATCTTTCTCATTAACTGAAGATTTAAGGGTTTTCAAATAATACCCATTGGAAAAGAGAGGGCGTTTCATTTAACATAGGTAAATATGTGAACACATTTTTAAACAAATCTCAAGAACAGTAAAACCATGATTGAGTGATACATGTATATTTAAAAGCCCAGAGAGCCGAGCAGTCTAGCTCGCAATTACTCACTGCTCGGAGACGAACCCTATTACCGGCAACTGGGACTGCCGAATAAAAATAAAAAAGTGCCGATGCAACTGGGACAACAGACGGCAAAGTTGTTTTTTTTACGTTATGAAAGAGAATTAATTGATATAATATTTTTGACTCTTTATATCATTTACTTTTGTTTGGTGAGTTCCCGTTTTGATATTACACTGTTACCTTAAACTATTTTTCTGTTGAATGTAAAACCATGATTTCTTATAAAAAAAAAAGAACAGAAAAAACTTGAATTCATTTAACTTTTCAAGAAAAATTGGTCGATCTGAGCTTATAGAAATAAAACTGTTACTCCAGGGTCACATTTCTTGTTGTATATAATAAACTTTAGGCTCTCAACGGCATAACTGCAGCATATGGATAGTCTTTGTTGTTTAATAAGTGTGCCACAAGCGTTTGCGTTTGATGGGTCAAGAGATTTTGGCTGTCTTGAACAGCAGATAACCGTTAACAAGGCAAACAATGACGGCAGATGACCTATGTTTGAATCTCGATTTCACCTTTTTGAATGATTTTTTGAAATACAAAAATCATTTAGAAAAATGTCACTATGTCTTAAATATCTCTTAGATATCACTTTATTGTATAATTTATTATTTTTAGAAGATAAATGCCTAATAAAAATATACTGCAAACATGGAAATTTCCGTCCCCGTTTTATTTTTGCCCTATCTTTTTTGGACAAATTTCAAAAAGGTTTAAAGTATACCGTATAATTTCTTATACAAAACCGTGACTGGGTGAATTTATATTTGACAAAATTGTTTGCAAGTGTAAAAGCGCGAAACTAAAGCGGGGCAAAAATAATACTGTATACTGTGGTCTTTCTGCAAACATTTGCTGCAAGTCTGCAGCAGACATTGCTGCAAAATTGCTACAGACGCTGAAGAAACCATGACAGACCTTAAAAACTGTGTTTGCAGCAAGTTTGCGGCAAGTATCGACAAGCTTACAGCACACGGTGTACCACGCAAATTATGTTTACTACTAGCCTGCTGCGAATATTGGATTTTCCAATAAAAGATATAGAGATCCTAGTAACGTACAGCGTTCAAGCTTAAAACGTCATTAAACAATACAGAATTGGAGCAAAAAAGAAAAAGGAAACTCTAAATATCAGAAGTTGGCACAGGTCCAATGCATGGAGGGGTGTCAGTCAGCAGTTGAATTAATGATAGATTGTATTTGTTGACAAAGTCACTCTGTAGAACTAACGAAATAATGACTTTAAACAAGACAAGATATTCTTTTTTCATAAACTTGTTTGTCAATAATTTACCTCATTTTAGAAATTGTACTTACTCAGAGCATGCGCTTGCGTATGAATCAACTGAGAATTATAAACCTACATATAGTATGATGAAGGTATACATGTATATTGCTGCATAAGTAAGGCAAGTTGACCATTGAAAAGTTAAAATCATCACGTTTATCATAAAAATAAAACAAAACCTTGACTTATCAACAAGATGCTGTGTGCGCCAATGTAGAATTAGGCTTTTTTGGTAATCATTTAAGATGGCATATATTCCTATCAAAATACTGAGATATTTACAACTTTAATCAAAATATTTCAAATGGCAAATTCTGTGGTGACCTAGGTACAGTCTATATTTCATTGGCGGGTTTGACTTGTTTATTTTCTTGCGAACATTTTGCAATCCTCTAGTTTGCCAATGTTTCCAACAAACTTATTTCTGCAAACAACAGATTGGCATGTTTGTATCATGCAATGTTCCTGCAAACTTACTGCATGCTTATAACAATAGATGTAATGTTGGCCGCAACATCGCAGCTAGCGGCAATATATAATCTGCAAGAACATTTTCTTCCCTCGTACAATTTTGTTTGCGGAAGTCTGCAGCAAACCTAACAGCTTCGGACAAGTGCCCAAAATAGCAAATTAAAATTCCAAGTTTATAAACAATATACAACTTGTACATAAAAAAATTTAATACTTTGATTATATGTTAATACTCTGGTCCATGATATTTTAAAATTCCAAATATCCGGTTTTCGTTCCTTATCTCTAGAAAACAAAATTTTACGGTTATTCACCAATAAATCGTCTTATTTAAAACATGTTCATGTTGGTAATCGATTAAAAGTTTGATTCAGTACCTGTCGTGTAGCAACTTCTATACATACGACCAATATTAACATCCTGAAAAAGGTTTACCGTAATTTGAGGCTTATTAAGATAAAGCAAATTAACATTTTATTAAATTTAAACTTTGTGTCCATTGTTTCCGATTGGCGTATTTCATTTTAAATCAAATGTCATTGTTGGCCTCGTCTGTCGTACACTACAGCAAAATTAGATTGACCCACCAAAATTAAGCGCTGGTGGCACTTTAATTGGACATCAAAGATTATCCATATTTTGCAGTAATGCCTTAGATTGATTGATTGTATATTCTGTTTAACGTCGATCCTCTCGAGAATTTTTCACTCTGAGTCGCATATGGAGACGCCAACACTTGCCAGTAGAGGCTGCAAAGTGTGTCCTATACTCGGCACTCAGGCCATTGAGCAGGGAGGGATCTTTTTCGTGCCAGCACCTACTGCGACACGGGACCTCGATTTATACTGTCTCATCCGAAGGACCGGTCTCCACGTGCCACAGTGAGATTAGAACCTTTGACCTAAGGATTGACTCCTTACTTCGCGACTCTAGACTAGACGCTATAACCACTGCGCCATGCGGGCGACTTATGTCGTAGAGAGCCTAAATTTAACATATACAACAAGAAATGTAACCGTGGAGTTTTATTTGTATAAACCACCAAACGAAAGTAAATGAATGTTATAAAGAGTCAAAATATTATATCAATTAGGTCTCTGTCATATAGAAAAAAAACAGCTGTTCTATCTGTTGCCCCAGTTGCATCGGCAGTCCCAGTTGCCGGTAATAGGTTGTGTAAAGAGTTTTTGCAAATTAAACGTGCTTTAAAAATTACTATTAATTTTATTGCGAAGATGTATCGGTAATGATCCTATAGTAAAGTCAAAATGATGATTCTCCATCAAATCCTTGGAATGCAAATTAAAAAATATCTGAAGAGAAGTACAGCTTTAATTAGTGCAATTAATATGGAAGTATCCAAGGTAATGTAGATTCAGGTTAGGTTCAGGTTTGTTCAAATCATGATTCTTTGAGTAAAATTGGGCCATAATAGGATTTAAGTGTAAAACTTAAGGAATGTAAGGGCAGAGCTGCCAACCCTTACGATTTTGGCGTAAGTCTTACGAAATTAGCATCTAAAATACGCGTTATGATTTCTGTCCATATTCTTCCGATTTCGTTTTTTCTCGATCAAAGTTAATAATACCGGAATGTTCATAGCTGGCAAACTACAGTTTCTACTATTATAATTAAATATTTATAATCCTTACAATGCTTGCTCGTGTTGTTGCTTCGGTTTTAGAAGGCCGATTGTTTTCATGTCAATGTTTCAAAGTAAACAAAAGATAAACATGCCTCAAATTGCGCCCATTACATGCCAATTTACAAAATATCTTTAGCGGCTTGGGCGGTCTCCGGACCTTGCCTTACTATTTGTCATTTCAGAATGTTGGCAGCTCTGTAAGGGGGAAAATCTTTTATAATTCTCCAGAAAATTATAGGCATGATAGGTCATATAAAAATGGAACTATATGTACCTCGAGTTTAGTTTAGATTAAAGCTTTTGTAAATAATAGATCTCCTTTGCGTCATTGTTGGGCTACTACAGAAGATTAAAGATTTACATGAACATCAAAGTTATGATTGCATAATATTAATATAGTTATGCATAAATGTAGATGGAAACCTCATTAGGTATTGAAGAGTAAAGTTGGTTAAAGTGTTCAAATCATGCCCCCTTTTACCACAGGGGGTAGTGGGGGTAGTATGGCATCATACATATATTAACAGAAGAGCAAAGTTTAACAAAGTAGCATTAAGGAATAAATATTTTTGTCTTCTCAAGAACAGCAAATCCAGGATTAGTCATTTCACTCAAAATAAAGACTCCTTGTGGGTACGTTAAGGTCACTTCAAGAGATTCAAATTTTACTTTTGAATATATACGGAAACTATTGACGAAAAACAACAGGGTCTTTATAAATCAGAATAGCATAGTGACCCATGGGCCTGCTAAATTTAATTTAATCTACCTTTTAATTTGGCACAATGAAACTTATGAGTAAAGTAGTATAAAAAATGTCAGTCAGCATTTGATCATAGACGGCATTTCCTGTCTCATTCGTTCGAAACAACAAGTGACTACCGCGATCTTAAGCCAGGAATTCCTGGCTTGATCGATGCGCCGTCTACCGCCGCTGTTCTACGCTCTAGCATGTGAAAAAATGACAATAAGCTGTAACTATCTGCTGATGCTGAGTCAGTTAGTCTCATATACCGATTAATGATTAAAATGTGTCATTTTCATTTAATAAATGTTGCAGTTTTCTTTTATTCAAGTAATGTAGAGTATGTAATGTGATAAGAGCTTAATAAGGTACCTTTAGCCGAAGCGAAAGGTGTGAGTGAAACATTTAATACTTAGGTCCTTGTTGAAATGTTAATATAGATCGATTGATTGCATCAAAAACAAATGTATAGAACTAGAAATGTATAAGTACCTCGTTTTAGAAATTATTCATACGTAGAGCATGCCCTTGTGTTTCGAATCAACTGAGACAACTAAACTTTGTATGCAGGCGATGAAGATATACGTATAGCTGCATAAGTCAGGGAAGTTGACGATATTAATGTTAAAGTCATCACGTTTATCAAAGAGCTTGGTTGTTAGATTACCATAAACGTTTTTTCAAGTTAAATATCCAAATATGAAACAGATGTGTCACGCTTTGTGGTATCTTTTATATCAAGCTCACGAGGATATATCGTATCGACATTAGAAAGGAAATTACAAAGATTAATTGACAATACGTCGTCGATATATTTAAATGTCGAGTTGAATGCCACAGCAATTGTGTTCTTCTTTTCACACATAAGATTTTGCACAAATTCTTCTTCATGTGAATACAAAAATACTAGGGATGTCAAATCGGTCAATTTTTAATACTCGGTTACTCGGAAGTTTTTCCGATCGAGTACCCGGGTACTCGGTAAAAGTGTAAATAAATATGAACAAGTAAATTGAAGACTGTAAAACATTGTAAACTCTTGTAGAAATAAAACCAAGTGCACTGATAGGAGGCTTATCCGTAAATGTATTTCTGTTGTAATCACAGGTACTTGGGTCGTGGTTTATAAATATTTATAATGTACCTTATTGATACTTTTTTTTTTACATATCAATAAGGTACATTATAAATATTTATAAACCACGACCCAAGTACCTGTGGTTGTAATAATGATAAGCACTTCGTGCCCGACGAAATTTAATATAACATTTTTTTAAAATTCAATTTATTTATCAAATAAACACAAGAAATAAATTCATAAGTTGTTCACAGCGTTTTTGTTTTAAAAAAATAATCTGCTCCGTAATTGTAATGTAACTTTTTGTCGCGTTTGACGACCAGGTATCAGTCATCAGAGCTACACGTGTACGGTATCAACTTTCAAGAACTTGATCAAGTTCTCCTAACAGAGCGGATTTACGATTTTCGTACACTTTTTCGATCCTAGACTTTTATAATATTACGGGACGGTATTTTGTAGTTTGGTGCAACGATGGACATCAGTTTTTTTGCAAGCCTTTACCTTTAACCAGTTGTATTGGCATATATTTACATTTGCAAATGTTTTCCTTTCTATAACACTACTGAAAGCAAGCGTTTTTATAACTGTATAAATACAGGTATGGGGTCAAGAGGTCATAGATGTACGTATGGATAAACGTTCGACATAATTTCTGTGTGACGTCAAAAGAGCCGACGCGCGTTCAGCGGATTACATACATGCCGTTGGGTTTGAAAAATAATGCATTTCACACGTTAATAGTCACAATCAGGCAAATCTAAAGTATGAATAAGTCACAAATGTAAATATAAGGAATAAGGTATCATTTTTTGAGTGTTATTGGATGTAAAACGGGTTGGCACATGATCAAATCTTCCATAAAGCCCTTCGGACTTTATGGGATTTGATCACATGACCAACCCGTTTTACATCTAAATAACACTCAAAAAATGATACCTTATTTCTTAAGTAATGAAACACAAACATATCAACAATCGCACGTGTAATATCATCCGCTCTTTTCTCGAGAATTTACGGCTTCTCGGAGAATTTACAATATTATCTAATTTATTAAACATAATGGATCTTAAACGATGTTCAGTGAAAACAAATAATTAAAGCCAAACAAAAATTAAGGAAGAAGGCAGCGAAGGCAATAACGGTCATTTAGAGTCGTAGTAAACCCTAATTACTGTATGTACAAGTGCAATGAGCATTTTAAAACAGATTGTTTAATGCATTAATAAATAAGCTTGGAAATATTCAAAACTATACATCCGAGTAACCGAGTACCGATTTTAGTATTCGATACTCGGACGTTCGATCGAGTACCCGGTTAACCGGGTACTCGTTGACATCCCTAAAAAATACGTCTGTTAATAACGGGGCGCAATTTGTTCCCATGGGAATTCCAATATATTGTTAAAAGATCTGGTCACCAAAAACAACATAGATATTGTCAATCAGAAACCAAAACATCTTTTGATGTCGACTTCAGAGTACTTGTATGTACGATCAAAATGATTTTTTAGCAAAATAATTTTGCAGATGACCAATGACAAGGTAAGCAAATTTAGGATTTCCATTTTAATTTTAAAAAAACAGCTGTCAATGATATAAAAAAGCATGGACTTTAATTTATCTTTGGAAATGGTTGTGTATAAAGCTGAAAAGTCGTATGTTTTTAAACTGTTGATTTTGGTACAATCTTGTGATTTCAAATAGTCCAAAAGTTTCTTTGCATTTTGAAGTGTCCACATAGAAGGATATGGAGATAACGAACAGTATTCAGTCCCAAAGTCCATAAAACAATTCAAAACAGGAGCAGCAGAGCAAACACTGACCTTCAAAACATTTGGGGTGGAATCAGGTGAATTGGAGGAGTAAGCATCCCCTGTTGACGGGTCACACCCGCCGTGTGCTTCTTGTCATGATCATTAAAAAACGGAAAAATCCGTCGTCAATTCAGTGTATAAATAATGAACTAACAATATTTTATTAGTATTATTAGTAATAGTAACAATAAGTAATATCAGAATTGAAAAACGGCAGTCAGCATTTGACTCAATGATATATTGTTTTTGCTGACAAGGTCATTGTATCGATCATAGAACTACAAAAAAAATTACTATAAACGAGACTGCTGATATTTTTGTTTCATCAACCTGTTTTTCAATAATTTATCTCGTTTTAGAAATTATTTATACGCAAAGCATGCTTTTGCGTATCAGATCAACTGAGATATTATATATATATATATATATATATATATATATATATATATATATATATATATATATATATATATATATATATATATATATATATATATATATACTCCGTATGCAGGTGATGAAGGTATATTGCTGCATAGGTAAGGGAATCTGATTTACACCACTTCTTGAATATATGGTTGCACAGTACTCTTGAAGTTTTCCTTCACCACGGTTAATATCTTAGTGAGGAGAAAAGAAAGAGGTTTGGTTGAACATATATTGAGGCCCGCTATGTATCTTTGTTTGTAAGCGTTGAAATAATTGGCTTGGCCACGAATTTATTTATGCTCATAAATATGACTACGAAGAATGGATAGGTTAAATCAATGGATCTTTAATATAGATGTGGATGCCTAGAAATTCACTCTGAATTGCACTGTTGCTAAAATGTTTTACTGTTTTCCAATGAAGTAGATTCTAATCAGAATTAAAGAGTTTTTTGTGCTGAAGATGAAAATATTGCATCAAGTTATAGCGTCGTGTTTTATTTCATTAGATTACATCAGGTTTAAGAGGAAAATTAAGATATAACTTAATGGCGTTGTAAATACATGTTCAAATATTTTACATTTGTTTCTGTAGAACAACGCACTAATGAAGTTTTAATTAAGCTGTTGAGCATTCTAATATTTATAGCTTTTTTACTACAAAAGTGAAAGCAATTTTTACATAATTTTACAAGAGAATTTTAATTGTAGTTCTTATATAGTAATTGATAATTAAAGTTTTAAGCAAAAGAAACATGCTTACAGCTTTCTCTTTATACATTTTGACTTCTTAGACGACCCTTTTTATAATGTTTTTTTTTCAGGACAGAGTACTGGTCCAGATTATGGCAAAAAAGTTATACCTCCAAAAAGTCCAAAAGGTGGGAATTGTTCTTGTACAAGTACCCTCATTATGAAATGGGTTGAGCATATAGCTCTTTTTCAACCTTTACTTTGTAATTCCATCAATTTGAGTTTTAATATACTGATAAGCTAGTTTTTGGTCTCTTTATTGATTTTAACTGATCAAGTTAAAGATTGATGCCTATCCATTTACTGCAAATTTTTTCTTAGTATATTTGAAAAATATTTACCGCATAGGAACAATCTTTGAAACCATGGCCTCCATGGGTAGGGTTGGGTCAAACTGGGGATCAAATAATAACATAGGAATTCAAAGAAAAACTTAAAAGTTCTCCATTAGAATAGAATTCATAAGAAAAAAACTTGAAAATTCTCCTCAAGAATAGCAAAGTCTTTTTAGTTAAATGAATATAAAATAATTTGGAAGCATGCTCAGGTGTTGTTGATTTAAGTTTTTAAATTTTTGTATAGAAAAAAATTACTCTAAATCTTTTTAAAAAGACCATGAACTAAAAATGCTTTAGTCAATTTATTATAAATGTAACCTAAGGAAGTGTGTTTTTCCGAATCTTGATTCCAAGGATATCATATGTTTGGAAAAACGGATACTTCTCTTTCACAGTGGAAGCTTCCTCGTATAGTGAAGATTCAAGGTTGTTTAAATCATGCCCCATTAGAGAAAGAGGGCAATTAATTTTAAGAGGTAAATATGTGAAACATTTTTATAAAAATCTCAAGAACAACAAAGCCATGATTATATTTATAAGAAGATTCACAGAAAGATCCGCGCAAAAGGTATGTGTGTATGTATGAACACACTAGCTATATAATATATCACATCAAATTCATAATTCTGGCATTTTCACTTGGATTTTAAAAAGTCTAAAAGACAATTTATATAAAGATAATATATTTTTATACGTTTTTTGTGGAGTACTACTATAAAAAATGAAGTATAAATACAGTTATTCAAAAAATCGTGGACGATGGCGGTTTTCAATTTGAATGATTCCCGTTAAACGAAAACCATAATATTTTTGTCACTAAAATTTATTTAAGATAAAATAGTTTGTGTATTTTTTTTTAAGACGATGTCTTTTTAGGCGAAAAAAATACGCATAACCCAAAACTGAAAAGCATATTTTAGGGACGTTTATCGATAAAATATATTTTTTTAAGAAAAGAAATTTATTGTTAATTGTTGATTGATTGTATGTTGTTTAACGTCCCTCTCGAGAATTTTTCTCTCATATGAAGACGCCACTACTTGCCGGTGAAGAGCTGCAAATTTTGACCAATACTCGGCACTCAGGGATATTGGGCAGGGAGGTATCTTTTTCATGCCAGCACCTACTGCGACCCGGGACCTCGGTTTATACGGTCTCATCCGAAGGACCGGTCTCCACGTCCCACTGTGGGATAAATTACTGTTAATAAAATTACCGTGAAAGCTAGTTTATTTGTTTTGAATAAAGCAGCTCTCGCCATTTTCTTATATCTTTTGCATGGATATTTGAAAAAGAAAGGGAAAAAAACAAACCAAATTATCTTTGAACGCCATGAAAAATCAGTATCTGCTATCCAAACGCTATTATAACATTGTGTTAGATACATAAGACAGTGGGAAGAGATGCATTCTGTTATTTGAAAAAAAATATCTTTCAAGGAAAAAATTAATTCATTTCAATTTCTCTTATTGAAAGTTGATCAGAGTGATTCTCCCTCTCCATCAAAAGAAATGTCAACAAGAGGCAAACCGAAAGACAAAAGTAAGTGTACTGAAAAAAATCTTTGTCGTAAAGTGAAGATTTAAGGGTTTTCATATGATTCCTATTTGCAGAGAGGAGGCATTTCATTTTACAATGGTAAATATGTGAAACATTTTCAATGACATATCACGAACAATAAAGCTATGATTTTATTGCTAAGGAAGATTCAGGTAGTATAGAACCTGTTCATCTTATGGCCCTTTAAATAGATTGAGGCTATAATTAGAAAATTGAATTGTAAATTAAGAAGAAAGGTTGGCAAGAACATATCAAAAAGCAAGACATACATAGAGAAAATACTTTTATTAAAAAAATATTTTTGGTCTTTTACAGAAAAATGAGTAACTTTTTTTGAATTTCTTTTCTTACAAGTTGATACTCCAGGCAAGTCAACCAGAGGCAAACAGAAAGAAAAATGTAAGTGTACTGAAAAAATCATCATGTGAGCAAATAAGCAATATGACTGCGAAGGATGTTTGAGTGAGGCAAAGACAACAAATCTTTTGTTTGGTTTTCTTAGCTCTACTGGTTAGAGACCAGAAGAGCTTATGCGGTAGTAATGTATCTGTCGTCTGTCTGTTTGTAAACATTTTTTTCAAAATGTTACTCCTCCTACAGTTTTGGTCTGATGTCAATTTAGCTTGGCACACAAGTAAACTATGCTGAGATAGATAATTCTGTATATCGATTTTTTATTTCGATGAAAGATGTTGTCATGGTTACTAAAAATAGAAATTTCCGTGAACAATTTTCAAAATGCTTTTCCTCCTACTGTTTTAGCCTGATTATAATATAATGTGACATGCAGATAGACTACACGGAGATACATAATTCTGTTTATCGGTGTTTAATTTCGATAAAAGATGTTGCCATGGTTACCAAAATTAGAAATTTTTGTGATATACTATCAAATTGCTTCTTCTCCTACAGTTTTAGTCTGATTATAATATAATGTGGCATGCAAGTAGACTACACTGAGATACATCATTCTGTGTTTCGGTTTTTGATTTTGATGAACAGTGTTGCTATGGATACAAGAAATAGATTTTTTTTTTACGAAATATATTTTAAATACTACTTCTCCTACAGTTTTGGTCTGAATTCAATATAATTTGGCACATAAGTAAACTACACTGTGATTCGTAATTGTTATTTTTGTGTACATGTATTTGATTCTGATGAAAGATGTTGTCATAGTAATTAAAATTAAAAATTCTGTAAAAATTTATCAAAAGCAACTTCTACAGATGTATTCTTATTGCAATCTTGCCACACAAAGGGGCTTGATCAAGGATCATTATTCTGTTCATTGCTTTTGTAAAGTTTCAAGTCCCAACTGCTACTTTTCTCTTCCTTTGTTATAAGTACAAACCACTAGAGCTACAGTCTCGACAGAGACTTCTTTTTAACATTACACGTATGAAATCACACATTAATCGAAAGATTGACGTCGATGACATCAAAATGTGTATGTGTCACTGAAAAAAACTGGGAAAAATATCTTTGATGTCCATGAAAAAGCAATGTCTGCTATCCAAACGCTATTACATGTATAACATTGTGTTAGATACATAAGACAATGGGAAGAGATGCATTCTGTTATTTGAAAAAAAATATCGTTCAAAGGAATAAATTAATTCATTTGAATTTCTCTCATTGAAAGTAGATCAGAGTGATTCTCCCTCTCCATCGAAAGAAATGTCAACAAGAGGCAAACCAAAAGACAAAAGTAAGTGTACTGAAAAAATTTTTCTCGTAAAGTGAAGGTTTTCAAATGATACCCATTTGAAATATGAGGATATTTAATTTTACAATGGCAAATATGTGCAACATTTTTAATAAAATCTCAAGAACATTAAAGCCATTATTATATTGATAAGGAAGCTTCAGGTAGTATAGAACCTGTTCATCTTAGTGCAAATCTGAAGAACAAAAAAGCTATGATTATATTGCTAAGGAAGATTCAGGTAGTATAGAACCTGTTCATCTTAGGGCCCTTTAGATAGAACGAGGCAATTAAAAAGAAATGAATTGTAAATTAAGGAGAAAGGGTGCCAAGAATATACTAAAAGGCAAGACACACCTAGTGAAAGCACTTTTATTTTTTTAAAAATGATTTTCAGTCTTTCACAGAAAAAGAGTAACTTATTTGAATTTCTCTTCTTTCAAGTTGATACTCCAGGCAAGTTAACCAGAGGCAAACAGAAAGAAAAAAGTAAGTGTACTGACAAAAATTATCATGTGAGCAAACAAGCAATATGACTGCAAAGGATGTTTGAGTGAAGCAAAGACTACAAAACATCCTACCAATATGAGAAATTTCAAATATTTGATTTTTTTCTTTGATTTTTACTAACTCTACTGGGTTAGAGATCAGAAGAACTTATGCGATAGTAATGTGTCTGCCTGTAAACATTTTTTTAAATGCTACTCCTCCTACAGTTTTTGGTCTGATTTCAATATAACTTGGCACACAAGTAGATAACACTTAGTTGCATAATTCTATATATCGGTTTTTGCTTTCGATGAAATGTTTTGCTATGGTTACCAAAATAGATATTTATGAGAGATTCATTTAAAATGCTACTCGTACTGTTTTTGTCTGATTATGATATAATGTGGCATACAAGTAGACCACACTGTGATACATAATTATCATCTTTGTGTTTTTAATTTTGATGAAAGATGTTGCCATGGTAATTAAAATTGAAATACTGTAAAGATTTATTAAAAGCTACTCCTTCAGATGTAGTCATTTTGCAATCTTGACACACAAAGGGATTTGATCAAGGATCATTATTCTATTCATTGCTTTTGTAATACCAATTGCCACTTTTCTTTTCCTTTTTTAAAAGTACAAACCAGTAGAGCTACAGTCTCGACAGAGACTTTTTAACATTACATGTATTAAATCACAAATTAATCGGAAGATTGACGGCGACGACATCAAAATGTAGAAAAAAAATTCCTTTGAACATTCTGAAAAAGCAATATGGCTGCTATCCATAGGCTATTATTACATTGTTTTGGATACATAAGACAATGGGAAGAGATGCAAACTGTTATTTAAAAAAATATCTTTCAAGGAATAAAGTAATTTATTTGAATTTCTCTCATTGCAAGTTGCTCAGGGTGATTCTCCCTCTCCATCAAAAGAAGTGTCAACAAGAGGCAAACCGAAAGACAAAAGTAAGTGTACTAAAAAAATCTTTCTCGTAAAGTGAAGGTTTTCAAATGATACCCATTTGAAATAAAAGGACATTTAATTTTACAATGGCAAATATGTGCAACATTTTTAATAAAATCTCAAGAACAATAAAGCCATTATTATATTTATAAGGAAGCTTCAGGTAGTATAGAACCTGTTCATCTTAGTGCCCTTTCAAGAGATTGAGGCAATTAAAAAATAGAATTGTAAATTAGGGAGAAAGGGTGCCAAGAACATACTAAAGAGATTCATTTAAAATGCTACTCCTACTGTTTTGGTCTGATAATAATGTAATGTGGCAAACAAGTAGACCACACTGTGATACATAATTATCATCTTTGTGTTTTTAATTTTGATGAAAGATGTTGCCATGGTAATTAAAATTGAAATTCTGTAAAAATGTATTAAAAGCTACTCCTTCAGATATAGTCATATTGCAATCTTGCCACACAAAGGGATTTGATCAAGGATCATTATTCTATTCATTGCTTTTGTAAAGATTCAAGTACCAATTGCCACTTTTCTTTTCCTTTTTTAAAAGTACAAACCAGTAGAGCTACAGTCTCGACAGAAACTTCTTTTTAACATTACATGTATCAAATCACAAATTAATCGGAAGATTGACGGCGACGACATCAAAATGTGTATGTGTCACTAAACTAACTAGAAAAAAAAATCCTTTGAACATTCTGAAAAAGCAATATGTCTGCTATCCATAGGCTATTGGAGTTTTATGAAGATACTTACTTTTACAATCTTCGACTGACTTTTACAATTTAAACAGAGACAAACTCCAATCACTAAAATGTAAAAGTCAGCTGTCAAATGTAAAAGTAAGTCTCTTCATAAAAGTCCATTATTACATTGTTTTGTACACATAAGACAATGGGAAGAGATGCAAACTGTTATTTGAAAAAAATATCTTTCAAGGAATAAAGTAATTTATTTGAATTTCTCTCATTGCAAGTTGATCAGAGTGATTCTCCCTCTCCATCAAAAGAAATGTCAACAAGAGGCAAACCGAAAGACAAAAGTAAGTGTACTAAAAAAATCTTTCTCGTAAAGTAAAGGTTTTCAAATGATACCCCTTTGAAATAAAAGGACATTTAATTTTACAATGGCAAATATGTGCAACATTTTTAATAAAATCTCAAGAACAATAAAGCCATTATTATATTTATAAGGAAGCTTCAAGTAGTATAGAACCTGTTCATCTTAGTGCCCTTTCAAGAGATTGAGGCAATTAAAAAATAGAATTGTAAATTAGGGAGAAAGGGTGCCAAGAACATACTAAAGAGATTCATTTAAAATGCTACTCCTACTGTTTTGGTCTGATAATAATGTAATGTGGCAAACAAGTAGACCACACTGTGATACATAATTATCATCTTTGTGTTTTTAATTTTGATGAAAGATGTTGCCATGGTAATTAAAATTGAAATTCTGTAAAAATGTATTAAAAGCTACTCCTTCAGATATAGTCATATTGCAATCTTGCCACACAAAGGGATTTGATCAAGGATCATTATTCTATTCATTGCTTTTGTAAAGATTCAAGTACCAATTGCCACTTTTCTTTTCCTTTTTTAAAAGTACAAACCAGTAGAGCTACAGTCTCGACAGAGACTTCTTTTTAACATTACATGTATCAAATCACAAATTAATCGGAAGATTGACGGCGACGACATCAAAATGTGTATGTGTCACTAAACTAACTAGAAAAAAAAATCCTTTGAACATTCTGAAAAAGCAATATGTCTGCTATCCATAGGCTATTGGAGTTTTATGAAGATACTTACTTTTACAATCTTCGACTGACTTTTACAATTTAAACAGAGACAAACTCCAATCACTAAAATGTAAAAGTCAGCTGTCAAATGTAAAAGTAAGTCTCTTCATAAAAGTCCATTATTACATTGTTTTGTACACATAAGACAATGGGAAGAGATGCAAACTGTTATTTGAAAAAATATCTTTCAAGGAATAAAGTAATTTATTTGAATTTCTCTCATTGCAAGTTGATCAGAGTGATTCTCCCTCTCCATCAAAAGAAATGTCAACAAGAGGCAAACCGAAAGACAAAAGTAAGTGTACTGAAAAAATCTTTCTCGTAAAGTAAAGGTTTTCAAATGATACCCCTTTGAAATAAAAGGACATTTAATTTTACAATGGCAAATATGTGCAACATTTTTAATAAAATCTCAAGAACAATAAAGCCATTATTATATTTATAAGGAAGCTTCAGGTAGTATAGAACCTGTTTATCTTAGTGCCCATTAAAGAGATTGAGGCAATTAAAAAAATGGAATTGTAAATTAGGGAGAAAGGGTGCCAAGAACATACTAAAAGGCAAGACATAACTAGAGAAAGCACTTTTATTTTTAAAAAAATGATTTACTGTCCTTCACAAAGAAAGAGTAACTTATTTGAATTTCTCCTCTTACAAGTTGATACTCCAGGCAAGTTAACCAGAGGCAAACAGAAAGAAAAAAGTAAGTATACTGAAAAAAGTCATCTTATGGGCGAATAAGCAATATGACTGCAAAGGATGTTTGAGTGAGGAAAAGACTACAAAATGTCCTACCAATGATAGTAATTTCAAATATTTGGATCTTTTGTTTGGTTTTACTAGCTCTACTTGTTAGAGACCACAAGAGCTTAAGCGATAGTAATGTGCCCGTCGTCTGCCTGTCTGTCTGTAAACAATTTTTCAAAATGCTATTCCTCCTAAAGTTTTGGTCTTATTTCAATATAGCTTGGCACACAAGTAGACTACACTGAGATACATAAATCCTGGTATCGATTTTTGCTTTTGATGAAAGTTGTTGCCATGGTTACCAAAAGTAGAAATATGTGTAATACAATGTACCTTCAAAATGCTACTCCTCCTACTGTTTTAGTCTGATAAGAATATAATGTGGCATACAAGTAGACTACACTGAGATACATAGTTTTGTATATCGATTATTTCGGTGTTACCGTGATTACTAGTAATAGAATTTTCTGTGAAGTACATTTAAAATACTACTCCTACAGTTTTGGTCTGATTTCAATATAACTTGGCACACAAGAAGACTACACTGAGATGCATAATTCTGTGTATCAGTTTTTGCTTCCGATGAAAGGTTTTGCCATGGTTACCAAATATAAAGAAGCCTGTGATATACTTTCAAAATGCTACTTCTCTTATTGTTTTTGTTCTGATTATAATATAAAATATTTACATTTTACACATTAACGCGCGTTATTCAATTTGTTTGCACACACCTTTGCAGTTATGAAACTATATCACTCAAAAAATAATGATTCATTGCTTAAGTGGCATGCAAGTAGACTACACTGTGATACATAATTGTAATTTTTGTGTTTTTGATTTCAATGAAAGATGTTGCCATGGTAACTAAAATTGAAAATTCTGTAAAAATGTATTAAGAGCTACGCCTACAGATATATTCTTATTGCAATCTTGCTAAAAAAAAAGGACTTTATTAAGGATCATTATTTTATTAATTGCTTTTGTAAAGTTTCAAGTCCCAACTGCAACTTTTCTTTTCCTTTGTTATAAGTACAAACTAGTAGAGCTACAGTCTCGACAGAGAAGTCTGGTTAATATTACATGTATCAAATTACAAATTAATTGAAAAATTAACGTCGATGACATCAAAATATGTATGTGTCACTAAAAAAAATGGGAAAAAATTTTTTTTGAACACCCTGAAAAATTAATGGCTAACCGCTATTGTAACATTTTGTTCGATACATAAAATGGGAAGAGATGCAAACTGTTATTTGAAAAAAAATCTTTTAAAGGAATAAAGTAATTTATTTAAATTTCTCTTATTGCAAGTTGATCAGAGTGATACTCCCTCTCCATCAAAAGAAATGTCAAGAAGAGGCAAACCGAGAGAAAAAAGTAAGTGTACTGAAAAAAAAATTTTTTTGTACCTAGAGAAAGCACTTTTATTTAAAAAAAAGATTCTAAGTCCTTCACAGAAAAAGAGTAACTTATTTGAATTTCTTTTCTCACAAGTTGATACTCCACGCAAGTCAACCAGAGGCACACAGAAAGAAAAAAGTAAGTGCACTGGAGAAAAAACATCATATTAGCGAATAAACTATATGGCTTCGAAGGATGTTTAAGTGAGGCACAAACTAAAAATATCTTACCAATGACGGAAACTGGAAATATTACAATCTTTTTTTTGGGTTTATAAGCTCTACTGTTGTTTACCAAAAACAATTAAAACCCTCTTTCTAGCACTTGACATTTATTTTTCTAGCAATTGATCTCATCGTATAATTGTCTTTGTCAATGTTTCAATTTCTATTACCATGTATGGGTGCAGGTCTATTAACAAGAAAACATAGAGATAACGAACAGTATTCAACATCAAACGTCCATAAAACAATACAAAATAGGAGGAGAGCAAACACGGACTTCCAATAATCAGAGGTGGGATAAGGTGCCATGGAGAAGTGAGCATCCCCTGCCGACCGGTCACATCCGCCGTGTGCTCCTTGTCATGATCGGGAAATAACGGGAAAATCCGTCGTCAATTCAGTGTATAAATAATGGACTAACAATTCGTATGAGAAATGTCAGTCATCATTTGACTCAATTTACCAAACTGGCATGTATTATGCATCAAGAGATGAACACTCTCAAACATGCATGCTGCAGATAATGGATTTGAATTATATTTTCTTGATGGGTGTTTATTTTTTAGGATAAGTCTATTCCAAAGCCACTGCAAGTCATATCAGATCAAAAAATGCATAAAGTTTGCATTTTGGATGCAAACTTCTAGATTGTTAATTTAATTTGAAACAATCGTTGAGGTGAGCTCTGTAATCGCTGGTTACCTATGTTCAATTCGGAATATATAAATTATGATAATTTTCGAAATCTTAATACATTTCATTGGCAATAATTGGTAAAATATTTCTGCCACATCTGGATACCATACGACATTAAAGAAATGACAGAAGTTCGGGATATTTCCGAACAACCCTCGTCAAGCTCATATATTCAGATCAAAAGGCTATTTAGACCCTTGAATACTAGTATATCTTGTTCAACTTATTATTCCCATGCACAGAAAACAATTCATTTTTTATCACATTTTGTCCGTCGTTTGTTCGTCTGTCCTCTGTAAACTTTTCACGCGTTCGACTTCTTCTCAAGAACCACTGGGCCAATTTTAACTAAACTTCGTACATAGTATCTCTGAGTAACGGGAGTTGAAATTATTTAAATATTAAAATAAAGGGCCAAGTCTTATCACAAGGGGAGAAATTTTTTTAAAAGGCAAAAAATAGAGTGGAGTAATTAAAAATCTTCTCAAAAACCACTGGCAAGTGGGCCAGAAAACCTGAAACTTATGTGGAAGCATCCTGGGGTTGTGAATGTGTAGATCCTAATTTGTTCAAATCATGATCCCCAGGGGCGGGCCACAATGGGGAACCCAAGTTTTACATTGAAATATATTTGAAAAATAGTTAATAATCTTCTTCTCGGGAACTACTGGACCAGAAAGCTGAAACTTATACTATAGAATCTTGGGATAGTGTAGAATTTTAATTATCCAAATTATGACCAGTGGGGCAGGATGGGGTCACAAAAGATATTACTGGGAGTAAATCTGGTAAAGAACAGCATGGTCAAAGCTATTCAGGTGAGCGATGTGCCTCCTGTTTTCCATTTCTATTTCAGAGACAGCTCCTAAAAAGATAAAATCCATTTGCATTAACATAAAGTAAATTTTTGCAAAAAAAATTGTTATACTTTTGATCAAAAGTGTTACTATGGGTTGTAACGTTCTTACATTGTTTTGCATTATAAAAATTGAGAGTGTAAATTTCATTGAGGATGCAAAACAAGATGGAGAGCTTTGTTATGAATAAGTAATGACCAATGATGAGGCATCTACAAACTGTTATTTAAATCTTTACACAGTCAAACAGTTACATCGAAATGTTAATTCACAGAGCAAATTTAAGGAGGCTGGGAGGTCAACAAATTCAGATATAACTTAAGTTTTTATACTTGATATCTTAAGCTGTCAACTATCATTTGGCAAAGACAAATTTCGTAAATTTCTGTTTTAAAATTTGATCATTTTTGTATAAGTTCATATGGAGCTCTTCTTCTAAAAGAGATCAATGTGTTCTAAAAATGGCCACAACCCCCTAACCCTCTTAAAGGGACATGGACACATTTTCAGCTTAATTTTTCAAGTTTGTTTTTTCTTTTATTTTATATAATATTTAACATGTTTTGTGAATTCACTAAGGGAATGCCTCCTTTGAAATTTCCATTTAAAATCATACATTTATGCAGTACTCTTTACATATGGATCCTTGACAGGGTTGTATAATTCTTAGGCGACCGTGAAAACACTTTGTTCATATAAATTGTTTTTTTTAATAACTTACCTGGTATTTATAGATTTTTATTTTATAGGCAAAAGTCAAACAACTCACACTTCAATCTTAAAGAAATCTCCTGTAGGAGGTAAAATTCGAAAACATTAACATAAAGCTATTTTTTAAAAGGATATTCGATACAATGAAAAAATGCAAGTATAATTTTGCCAAGAATGCAAGAATAGGATGGTTTACAGGATAACATTTTTTCAGCAACGATTACGATTAGGCATGTACATACTGTTTTATAAATCTTTACAGAGTACAACGGTTACTGTATATAAGGAAATTTTCACCCCCATTTTATTTTGGCTCTCTTCATGATAGGGCGAATTTCAAACGGGGCGAATTCAAAGAACACAGCATAATTTCTTAAACAGAGCTATGACTGTGAATTTAATAGGCAAAATTGTTTGTAAGTGCAAAAGGGCGAAAATAATACTGGGTGAAATAAACCCTGTATACAGTGCATCGAAAAGCGAATTCACAGCATGAATTATTTTCTCATGCCAGACTTGAAATAAAAATATGGACTTTAAAAATGCTAGCCAAAGTTACATGTAGGAAAAAGGGATTTTAATGGGTTTAATTCACGTACTATAACAAAGTAGAGAATTTTATGTAAAAAGAATTAAAACTGTTATTTTCAATATAATTTTACATTTTTAAGGTCAACTGAGGCTTGTTGAACCCTCTCAATCTTTACCTAAAGGCACACAGATTGAACAAGGTAATAGAAGGTTAAATAAAATTGATTAGAAATAATACATGATAGCATTAAAGGTACTTGGACACAGATTTGAAATCAATAGTTTCTCTATAATATTACGACTTACATATTTTAATAGCATTTCACACAAAAATTAATTAAAAATCTTATTTCATTTAAAAGTTATAAAAACGTCAAATTTTTTGGCGGGTTTGATTGACACATCATCCTTAAGAAAAGTTGCAATCTTGTTGTGTATTAATGAAAAATATTAAAACTTTTATCCAGAAAAATAATTTTATTCAGAGATGACATAGAAATGTTAAAAAGCAAAACTCCTTCACAAGTATCGTCATTCCGAACTAAGAGTTGCGTACAGAGTTTAGCAAATCGAGCACACTCGTGTTATGTACACATTTTTTGTAAACAGGGCACGAGTTCTGTTATTGTTGATGTTTACAATTCACCGGGTGCGTTCAATCGTCACAGTATGCTTACCACAACTGCACGGACTGACAATATATTGTGTGTTTGTTTTGCTTTCGAAGACATCTACTCTGAATTTTCTGGATTTTAGTATTAATATTTTTCATTTATATACAACGAGATTGCCACTTTTCCTAAGTATTAAGAATAGTATTGATTTGTGAAAGAGCAAAGATGTGTCAATCACACCTGCCAAAAAAATTGAAATTTTAATATCTTTTTTATGAAATAAGATTTTTAATTAATTTTTGTGTGAAATGCTATTAAAATATATATATATCGTAATATTATAGAGAAAATAATAACTTCAAATCTGTGTCCAAGTACCTTTAAATGTCTTCTCTCTGTTAAATTTTGTTAGATTCAACATGTGGAGTAAATCTTACTGCGAGTCAAAAACACTGCACCTGTGTTTTCGTAATGTTGAAAAATTAAAAATTAGCAATATATTCCACGAAAATGTTAATTTATATATTTAAACTGCTCAAGTGTTTTTAAGGAAGCTGGGGGAGGGGGGGGGGTCAACAAATTAACCACCAGATTTAACATATTTTTTTAGATACAGTATCTTAAGCTGTCAACTATCATTTGGCAAAGAAAAAATTAATACATTTTAGTTTCAAAATTTGATCATTTTTGTAAATCTTTATATGGATCTCTTCTGTAATAGGAGATCGAAAAAGTCTGAAAAAGGCTGCCACCCCCAGCCTTTTTAAATCTACAAATTTAAAGAGACTTTAGTCTTCAGACTAATATTTTAAAGTATAGATCTGATGTAAGCGTAAGTGTGTGACCTACCAGAATGTCCTTTGTCCTTCAATGAACACTGTAGGTGTATATGTTACATATTGTGAGCATTATAAAAAAAATAGAAATAAATACTCCAAACGTGTTATTACTTGTACTGTTAATTTTAGATTCTATAAGCTAATTTTTTTCCAGGTACTTTTGGGTTGGGGAGGAGGGTCTTTTTCACAGTACACTTATGTAAATGTATTTTTGAAACAACATAGTTTTTGTTTACAGTTTATTTAATCGATATCGATGAAATAATTTACTACGTAGTCAATATTGAATTTATTTTTGCCAAATAGTTGTCATTTTTGTTGATTGATTGATTGATTGATTGATTGTATATTGTTTAACGCCCCTCTCGAGAATTTTTCACTCATATATAGACGTCACCGTATGCCGGTGAAGGGCTTCAAATTTTGACCTTTACTCGGCACTCAGGGCCATTGAGCAGTGAGGGATCTTTATCGTGCCAACGCCTGCCGCTGATACGGGGCCTCGGTTTTTAAGGTCTCATCCGAAGGACCCGCAACTTTCACTTCAAAGTGCCGAGCGCATGGCGAAGGAACAGTTGCTACCAATTTTAACGACTAGGTCAGTCGCGGTCGAGATATGAACTCACGACCTCCCGATCACGGAGCGAGCGCTCATTTTTGTTGAAAAGTACTGAATCGAAGGGGCTGTATTTTTTTTTAAAACTTATTTTATCGTTCCTTCGCAAATTCGGTCGTGAAACGACTGTGAATAATAGCACTAATAGCGTTAGTCTTGCGCTGCAGATGCAGAACTCTGATTGAATGATTGAGTTAGTGCCGACACGTAATGCAACTTACTTTACTATCCGATTGGTTGGTTAGAAAGTGATATTGATGCCTAAAATAATATATGACTTTATTCTTACGTAAGAAGAAATAATCGTTCTGTTTATGATGGGAATAATTTTCCACGGTTTAAACAATTCATCTCTAGGCAAAAACGTAACTGAAGGTATGTATGCAAGACTTAATTTTGCTCTTTTTTCAAATTTTTATCCTTTATTAAGGTAAACATCCTGAGAAACCATCAAAAGAATTAAACCCACCTGAGAATCCTGAATCTACAAGTGGTATGTATATGTTTATTGCATAATATGAAACCTTGCATTCTACAATGAAGCGCATTGAAGTGGTAAAATTTTCCGTTCGAATGGAACGTTTTGAGCTATCTTTAGAGTGTTTATTGCCATCTTATGACACGCCCATTTCTTTAGAAATAGATAAAACGGTCAGGTTGTTTCTTCAAATACCTGTAGAACAGGTTTTCCATAAATATATTAGCCAATCAAATTGAGGATCTAAATAAACACCGAGTAAACATGTGTTCGACCGAAACATGTGTTGTGGTAACTTCAATAGACATGATGATGATAAGTTCAAAAATATGTACATATTCGTTGCAATTTGTGTTTTACAGAAGCGGGGAGTCTCTAACTCCATCTTCTAATTTTTTTAAAGCTCAATTTCAGTGTAACTCATGATGCTTGTCGCGAAGAATGGGGTGCCCTAAAACTACGACGAATATTTCATTCTCCTTTCTAAAAATATGGGCGTGTCATTATGTTATAATTGACGTTCAAAACATGACTCAGAATTTTTCATTCAAACGGAAAATTTTACCACTTCAATGCGCTTCATTGTAATAGATTATTAGAACACAAAAATGAATATAATTAATTTATCAAAAGTCCTATCTTTAAATATCTGCATGCAGAATCCCAAGTTTTGAGGAGAGGTATGACAAGTATCAGAGGGTCTAAAAATGAAGTTTTTGAAATTTCATATATTGAAAGTGCATTTGTTTTCAAAATGTCTCCTACTTTTCAAAAAGCCTCAGTAGCAAAAACAAAAAATAACTTCATTGTAGAAGTATTTAAAATTTAAAATATTTGCATAATATATTGCATTTAAAATAATATCCTAAGGCATGTTGCAATGATTCGGGCATGTGAATAGGTTGATTGATTGATTGATTGTATATTGTTTAACGTCCCTCTCCAAAATATTTCAACGATATGGAGACGTTACCATTACCGGTGAAGGGCTGCAAAATGTAGGCCCATGCTCGGTACTCATGGCCTTTGAGCAGGGAGAGATCTTTATCGTGTCACACCTGCTGTGACAAGGGGCCTCGGTTTCTGCGGTCTCATCTGAAGGACCGCCCCATTTAGTCGCCTCGAATGACAAACAAGGGGTGCTTAGGACCTATTCTAACCCGGATTTCCACGGGGCATGTGAATAGAAACATTTTGTAAAATTTGGAATTTTTTCTTCAAGGAAAATCAGAGCCTGAGATTATGTAAGGATATTTATATTATAAATAATGTAAGACTCTAACAATTTGAGAAGCTTCATGGGAACTAAAAGTCATTTCATGTATGGACAAAATTAAAATCAATAAAAAGAAACATACATTGTTTGTAATTTTATAGGTTACGTAGATTGTATAAGGGACTTTTTTCAAAACAAGTTGCTAAATCAAAAGTCGATATAAAGGACAAGTGCACGTAAGGGTACTTACCACAAACAAAAAATGGATGCGCGGGTTGATATATATTTTTTGACTGATTTTGATTTAAAATGATATAAATAATAAATCCCTGAAATATAAAGAAATCGTAGGTTTTCCTTGGTGCTTAGATATGAGATTTTGTTTTGCCTTCTATATAATTCCATACAAAATTTTGTACAATTTTTTAACCTTATGACAAAATCTTATATAATTCTCCAACTCTACTTGGTAAACATTATTCAGATTGTCAATTTAAATGTAAATCTATGAAAAATAATGCTGATTTCTGAAAAAAGTTTGTTTGTGTTATTTATCCTTAAGCAATTCTTAATGGCGCCCTCTTTATGTGCCATTTTACTTTAGTATATATTACCAAATCGTTCTCTTTTGGGAATAGTTAGATACTAGTGGATATTTCTAATAAAAAAGAACGTAAAGCTTCACCTAAATCAGCATGAATTTGAAACAATTCAATATCTTTAAATGCCCATGGAAACCCTAAATCCTAGTTGTACCAAACCTTTTAGTTTCGTTTATGTAAAAAAATGCGAAGAGATATTTAAATCGACACTTGAGCAATCTGATGGTGGATCATAGTCGGGCGCATTTGCGGAATGTTACTTCTTGCGCCAAATCTGTTTTTTTATGAATGAAGTTGTGTAGTTGCCTGTAGCCATAATGACCATAGAGAAACTGGTACTCATGCTTTTAAAATGAGACGATTTTCGGTTGAAAATTTTTATTTTCTTTGATTGGAACTGTCTTGATTGAAAAAAATCCACAAGAATGGATTGTTTACAACCATAATTTGAGTAAGCAACGAATCCAAATTTTTTTTTGTAAAATATACAAGATTGTTAAAAATGTACTTATACAATATTGTTTCTTTTCATTTAAGAACTCTTTCATGAATATAAAAACTATTCATGTCGAAAAGTACGTCTTATTTGTGTGTCGCCATTGAATTTGGCTTCCGGCCTTCGGGGGATGCTCACTCCTACATGGCATTTGATCCTACCTCTGATTTTTAGAGGCCTGTTGCACTGCTGCTTATTTTTATTGTTTGAACGGACTTTTGAGCTTCAAAAGTTCAGTTCAATACTGTTCGTTATATTCATATAATCTCATCGTAATTATGTGGATTTATAGTCATAATATGTCTTTTTATTTTTTTCTCTAGAAGTTGAAGATTCAAGAATTAAAACAGTCTACCGAAGAGCAACTGAATTTGTAATCCAAAAATGGAGAACTCTCACAGAATATATGAGACCAAGTTTGGAAAGTATTGACATTAAGAAATGCTGCAAAGGATTGATGTTGTAAGTTACTCCCTTCATTTTCTCATTTATTTTTGTATAAATTAAATCAGTTTTATGTTTATGTTTTATTTAATTAATTTTAATCACACCTGAACCAAAGGCTCAAGTGAAATTAGAAACATTGTTGTTGTCGTAGTCATTGCTGTAAGCTTTTCACATTTTAAAAATCTCTAACCTCACTTGGTCCGTAGTTTCTTGGGTAAAGAGTATTCAAATTAATCCAAACGAAGGGCTACACCTTCTTAAAATAGATAATGAATAAATATTTATAATTGAAGAGGGGAGGATCATTATACACTGTTCTTCTCAAGAACCTCCGGGCGAGAAACATCCCGTATAATCCTGAAAACATTGACTTTGGACATCAGAGTGCGATCAAATTTATACCTTTTAAATTGCACTTTTGTAGAAAGAATAAATAGTGCGATTTCATTTTGTTTACGCAATTAATCACTTCCTACTGTACGATTGAAGTTAGCATCTGTTATACATGTAAAGAACTAATTTATTGATAAAAAAAAAATGATTTTCCACCTACATTCATCACATTTTTCTAATCGAAAACCGAAGAAACGTTTATTTTTATTACCCTATATACGGATTTTCTTGACGGGTGTAAAATTTGACGTTTTGCCTGCTCAAAGGTATGCCAATAACTTTGGCGTATGAAACTAAAAAGAGTACTTAATATTTAAGCGATTAAAATTTTAGCGTGCAACCATCAAAACGCCAGAATAAGCAAATATTAGCACCCTGCCAAAAAATAACCCGCTATACGGTACTACAAATGTACCACTGAACGATGTACCCCATGTCTTATGGACAAGCTGAACATATTTAATTTTTTTCCCAACAGAATAAACGTATTTGTTCTTGAAAACCACAAATTATTGATATGTATGTTAAGGAAAAAGAGCCTTACTAATTTCACTTGCCTTTAATTGCAATATAAGATTGAGAAAATAAACTTTGATTTTTTTTAATCATTTTAGTATCCTTTGTGGCATTGGACTACTTTTATACGTAATGCTGTTACCAGAACCTGATGAATCCGACCCACCTCCTCCGAACGGCTCAGAAAACAAGGAAGTTAAAAATGACTCAGGGATCAACCTAGAAGAGAAATTCAATAAAACTTTTGTAGAGAAAAATTTGGATTACTTTAAAAAATTGACGGATAAAGCGAATGAATTTGAAAACAACATCTTGGAAAATTTAACACGGCTCCAAACTAATTTGACGGATAAAGCGAATGAATTTGAAAACAACATCTTAGAAAATTTAACACGGCTCCAAAATAATTTGACGGATAAAGCGAATGAATTTGAAAACAAAATATTAGAAAATTTAACACGGCTCCAAAATAATATGACGGATAAAGCGGAAGAATTTCAAAATAATTTGACGGATAAAGCGAATGAATTTGAAAACAACATATTAGAAAATTTAACACGGCACCAAAATAATTTGATGGATAAAGCGGATGAATTTCAAAATAATTTGACGAATAAAGCGAATGAATTTGAAAACAACATATTAGAAAATTTAACACAGTTCCAAAATAATTTGACGGATAAGGCGAATGAATTTGAAAACAACATATTAGGAAATTTAACACGGCTCCAAAATAATTTGACTGAGATGTCGAATAACAAAACGGAAAGTATAAAACCTATTAAAGAAAACATTCCAAAAAAAATGGAACAGGAAGAAGAGAAAATTGCATCATTGAAAGAAAAGAAAGCTGGTGATTTAAAACAAGCTATTGATGGTAAAGGATTTGTTCAAATATCTGGTGAAGATACCAATAAGACAGAAAAAAAAACAAATTCTGTTACAGATTGGTTTGTTTTATTATCCTTATAGTAGAAAATTTTATTTTTATAAAGCCCCCCCCTCTCTCTTTCAATTTGCAAGAAATATCTAGGTACAATTTTTATTTTTAATTCTGTACCCTGGTTTTAACTAAGCATAATTAATCACGTTTTGCTTTCTGTATTTTCAGATATATGGGAAGTATGTATGAGATATAGAAGTTTCTGCTTTGTACTCGGTATACTAGGTATGATTACACAAATTATACTGCCATGCTCAACACTGGTAGTGTTATATCTGGTGTATAAGAGATTAAGGGGACAAAAAACTGAACTCCAACCACCGAAACCTGCGGTTTCAAAGCCAATACATGTAAGAAAACATTAAATTCATTTTAAGATGTTTTTAAACATTTCAGATTTATAATTTTACCGTTTCTTACACAAAATAATACAGTTAAAACGAATAAATAATGCAGTTTTAATAGAATGACGTATTACTATGCTTTTTTATGAACAGTGAAAAAACCTATTGATGGCTTTTAATATACTGTGAATCACTAATTTTTGTGGGAGTCTGATTTTTGTTGTTTAGGAGGCATGGAGGGACGCACGAATTTATGAACATTATAAAATTTCTTGTACATTGATTCTTAATATTTTTCAACCACGAAATCAAACCAATATTTTTTCCTCAAACCTTGAAAATGTGAACCCATTAAAATATGTGTTTTTACAATTAATACATTTAAAATCTTTTGATGTATACAAAATGAGTTTCATATGAAAGTATTGGACACAAGCTATGGAATAAAATAAAAGAATAAGTGAAATAAATCAGTTAAGTATAAACTGTACATTTTATCTTTAAACTCAGAAACAGTTTGCACGTATACTAGTATTTTGGTGATGTGTCGATATGACGTCAAATTTTAGACTGTTTTGAAAAGTGGTTCACATCATTTACTTTGGATAACAATTAGTAAAAGAATAAATAAAAGTTCTATTTAGGTACATCCTAAAAGGATTTTTTAGTTATATGTTTTCCCTTATTGCCTGACGTCACGGCGTCAGGCACTATTAAGGATCAATATTTTCTAGGTGCGAAGCTAAGAGGTTACAGTTAGCCAGCAAAATTTTATGCATGCTGATTATCATCGGATTTTGTTACCTGCGTTTCAACAACAGTTAGAAGAAAAATAACCATATTACTGATACAATATATTGATCCATTTATTTCCGTTAGTTTTTGCATGCAGCTATTTATTTCATGCGAGTTCCTATACGGCCATGTCTGTTCCACCTTTTTTCTGCGTTTCTATACTACTGGATTAGTCCATTTGTCTTCTAGGTAAAGGGTTCACAATCATTTCGCGCCAAAATGTCACGTGTAAGTTTTGGCGCCCTTTTCCTTGACTATTATATTGAATGGAAATGAAAACTGCATGAATTATATAAAGTGTGCTTTTTTGTCGGAATCTTAATAGAGCTTTGAAAAATAAACTTCTGTAATATTGTGAACTTCAAGTGAGTTAGAAGTTACATCATTTAAAGTAAAAAAAATCGAAACGAACAAAAACTTCATAAGAGGATGAACTGGCGAAATATACATCTGATCATAACCCTCCCTACAGGGTTTCCATCTATAAAACAGAATAAAGATTTAGGAAAGCACCCCCTTACATTTCAGGATTGAGGGAGTTTATTAATTTTTTTCTCTTACAATTAAATACTTTTTTATGTGGAACCCCCCCCCCCTCCCCCCATCTCTGTGAAAAACTTCCTGAATCCTCGCCTGTCGCCATTTATATATCACCGTTAAGTTTATCGGGTCATTATACATAACGGGCTTCATTTAACCCACGTTTCCAACAATTGTTGATGCTCTTGCATACCCAAGAAACTAGTGAACATATTCTGCATGTCAGTCATAACCGTTACGATTCCCAGTTTCTTGTAGTTATCATATTTTTAGCTGTCTTCCTCATAGCCTATGCTGTATGCAGTTGAATATAATCTATGTAACCAGTCTGGTCTGCTTAGATAAATTATATTCAACTGCATACATTTACCGTAACATAGCAACGGCTTTCCAGCTTAAATCAATTACATTACTTTATTTCCCTTATTGACTTCATCCTCTGCAACAATTTTTAGACTCGCGTAGTGAGGATTTCATCTTCACGTCGCGGGTTCGAATCCACAGCGGAACGTGGAGATCTGTCCTTCGTATGAGACCGATAGGTTTTATAGATATTGATGGCATTAGTCAGGCAAGCTTTTTAAAAAGCTGTTACTTGTATGACACTTTTAAAGTTTAAAACTTAAGTACATGATATACACTGTACATTGTAAATCATACTTAGTGGTATTGGATCACATAACTAAACCATATTTTCACCCCGATCATGGTTTTAAAATGATACCTTATTTTTTAATTGGACTTTTTGAGATTATTATTTGAAAAAAAGTGTGCAAACAAATTGTGTGAAAGTGTATTAAACACATATACACACGAATAAAAAAAATCTTAAATGAAGTGTCAATGAACATGTTTAAATGCAAGTCACAAAATTACGTTAGTAAATTATTAATACAATAGACACAGATTCGCTTTTAAACTGAATTGTGATTTCTTATTTTTAAAGGAGGGGAATCTTGAAGATTCTCTCTGCATTGTAAGCTTTGATGAATCATCCAGCAGGACAAATCATCTGTCAATGACTAAAAAAATTGCAGAGTATGGTGAATTAAAACTACAGACGAAAAGAGTTGTCGTTAAAAAGGACAACCTTGATGATCTTAAAGATAGTATTCCGCCTTCTAAGGTAATATAACGTTTCCGGTATACGTAATATCTTAAGTTTTATTTAATATGTAAAGCTTTAATGTCATTTTGTAGTTTTAAATGTTTTGTCATGTGTGATCTGAATAGTCAGCGAAAATACGACAACTAGTATTCAATTCGTTGAAAACGTTTGATTTCATTGATTGTTTTCTTTTCTTTTTGAAGTCTTATATGAACAATATGTCTGTCTTTTTGTCAGTGCAATTAATGTCTAGACCAAAATTTTGCAATGAATAACGTTATATAATGAAATTCTGGAAGATCCTTACAATCTTGGTCAAATTCTTGCATCGCAACTTTGGAGCCAATAAGATTTATAAGATGGCATAGATTTTATATTTTAAGCATTATATATTACTAGTATACGTGGATATAGAGAATAGGAAAAAAGGATAGGAAATAGAGTTTAAATAAATATTTTCCTATCTACATAGAATACTACATGTAGGCCTACTCCTTCATAGCAGCTTCATCAAACCTCTGATGTTCTGAGAGGTCCCACTTTGCCCAGCTCCCGATTTCTATATATTTAACGAACTTTGGAGCTTGGTTACTATTCGTTATCTTTTTTATTCCCTGTCTGTTTGTATAGTTTTAACAGATTTTTTAGCGTTCTTGGTTCCTACTTGTAATCTTCAGCTCTATCATTTTCTCAATTTTAAACGATGCTGTTTGTTTACACATTATTCATCTGGTAAAAATATAGTTTTTACTTTCAAATATGTATTAGATAATAAATTGATGTTTTATATAGAGGTCAAACATCACTTATTTTCCAAAAAAAGTACTAGTAATTGTTACTCAAAAATGTCTTTTCTTTTAGGTTTTCCTTGTGTATATTGATTACAACGAAGGAAATGTGATCCTAGATAAATCGGAAACTGGTACAAGGCGACAAACAGTGAAATACTTGATGAAAACTAATGGTAATATGATTAGATGCGCTGCACTTCCCATTTTTGCTGTAAAGTAGTTAATCTATATACCAATTGATTTCTAGGGAAAATTTGAATAATGGAAGAATGTGAAAAACTTTGTTGTTTTCTTTCTTTTAGCTCTTGTATTTATTGTGTATTGCCTGGAGAAATCTTCTGAGAATTTGGAGGAGTTGTATGCACAGAAACTGACTACCATCAAGACTGATCCAGTGCTCGTAGGTCTTAGCAAGAGGGATAGGGTCTTCAGTATTTATAAGACCTTCAGTAAAAAGCAGATGGAAGTTATCGTCAAGGGTATTTACGAATTTACCAAACAATCTGTTTGATTTCTTCGTTCAACATTCCTTTGTTTTGTTTAAGTGTGTTTGTATATGCGCGCGTGTTTAGTCTTAGGTATATACATGTTCAACTAAGGTTATTACATGTATATTAGGTATTTGTGCATTGAATTACTTTGTTTTTTTTAAATGTTAGATAAATTTTTCTCACGAGCCTATTCAATAAAGGTTTTGCAGACAAGTGTTCTATAAAGAAGTAAACTTTTCTAAGAAATGCAATACGCATATTCAGGAAAAAATATATTGTACTTCAAAGTTAAATAAATAAAAAACATTGAAATGAATGTTAGACTTGCCCAGAAAGTGTTCAAAATGTTTTTATAACTCAGTATTATATTAAGTATTTTTCTCATGATGTATTCAGATAGACGGTTGTACCTGCACTCCAATGTTTTAAAGATATCATTTGTTGTGCTTTTAGACTTACCATGCATGTGTTCAGTACACTTTTTATATTCCACTATTATATTAGTCAGAATTTTCTATTTTTATGATATATATCCTTGACTTGAGCTTTTTATTTTGGAACTCTATGTTTTGCTTTTGCATTTTTATGATTTTTACAAAAGTGTGTTTTTTATAAAGATTTATTTTGCTTATATTATTCAGCTTCGTGCCATATTGTGTTCATTGTGTCTTCATTTTATTTTCTAGCATTGTTATTTCGTGAATGTGTTTGACTGCATTTAATGAGTATTTTATTGGATATTTGGTGTCTTTTTTCGTCTTTTTTTTTTTTATTTTGCTTGTTTTTCTTCATTTCTTCCATCTTATTTTATATAATTTATGTTATATTTTTTCCTTATAATTACGTATTTTCAATTTGATTTCTAGAGCTTTAATATTCCAATCTCGACGAGTATTTCATAGCCAATCTTTGAAGTACATTTTCTCTTTACACCTTATGAAGGATGTTTTTAGATCAACAAAATACTACACTTGAAATGGAAACTTACTATATTTTAATTTAAAAACTTAAATTTTGGATTTGCAGAGCTCGAAAAACATCATCCTTAGTGAGTAAAAAATAGACAAAGATAAAATGTAATACCATCAGTCTACAGTATCCGTAGGGAATAAAAATTGACCAAGATAGAATTTATCAATAACAAAAATCACCTGTACTTAGAAATAAAGAATCTCTAACCTGTTTCTTTCTTGTTCTTTAAATTTATGTGAAATATCTTTTTTTTCAGTTAGCTATAGGGAATTAGCATGTATATTGCACTGAAATGATTTAGAAATGAAGCAGACCAAATTGATTTTACACGCATTCTCAATTTATAGTCTCAATTCGCTTTAAATAATGTCCCGCGTTTTAAGTAATATAAAATTTCAAATAAATTTTATTTTCTGCCACTCATATGAACCACTGTTGGTTGTTGATTAAAATGCAACAATTGTTTGTTGTAGTTTGAATGATTGTCTTAGGAGAAAACCACATTTTATAGCAGAAATCGATATTTACGTTACTGTCGCCGATCATCGTGTAGTTTTTATTTTAAACCAAAAAGAAGTTTTAAATCATTTACATATCTTTTTCTTAGTAAGACTGTCCTACATTTGAGTTATATTTTCTGAATATCACACCCTTCACACATAAGCGTGTCACAAATTTTTAAAAGTTTTAATATATATATCAAATTTTTGATGTCACCGCAGAACTATTACTTTTCTATTTGGAAATTCAAAAGAACTGGAAGGATTGATAAACTGACTCAATAGGACTAAGTTGTAACTTTTTAACATCATGAACACCCTTTCTATTGCATGGAATGGTAAAAAGGACAATGTTTATCTATTTATGAACAATAGCCCTCCTTTCCTTATAAGTCCCATGGTTAAAAAATTCAACGATATTTACGTGTTGATATTTATTCACAAATTAAGTAAGAGAACTACACTGTTCCTTATGGGTCAAATTGCCTTACACTCAAGCACTAGAATATGCCTTCAATTAACTGTGGAATAATTGAACAATGGCATTAAAAGTTACGATAAATCTCAGAAAGATATTTACGTTACCGATATTTACGTTACCCATATTTACGTTACCATGTTTGAAAGTAAATAAGTATTAATTTCCAAAGCTGTTTGAACAGATTTGCGAGTGAATTTTTATGATGTAAATACTAAGAACATGAAGAAATATACACTGTTTCTTAAAATGTCATTTTTTCTGTAACAAGAGTGCAGAAATGCAAATTGAAGTGCACATGCAAAGGTGAACATTTTTCACTCAATATCTTGTGCATCTGTGTGATTTGAAAATTGAATTGACATAATATTATTCACAAGTAGAATTGTGATTTAATGCTCGAATCTTTCCATTTTGAGCAATTGGTTAATATTGCATAGTTTCAAGTGTAATGCACGTTATCATTCGGAACGTACATCTGAAACAAAACTCTTCAAGTCTGTATTTTGCTGTTTGTTTGAAATTATAGTGTATCGTCAACTTAAAAAAAATGGTTTTATACACCTGAATTGTATTCTAAGCTTAACATTTTGAAGGGAAAAAAATCATTTTTGTAGGAAATATAATTCCAGAAAATAGGCGCTGCATTGAATGCAGTGTGTGTGTGGGGGGGGGGGGGGGGGTTCTACATCGGGTAAAAAAAGAGGGTGTTGGGTGTCAAGAAACTGGTTGAAATTGAATCCATTTCCATTTTTGTTGCTTTGCAAGAAATACAAATATTTAACATGTATAAAATTGTGCACCTAAACTTCCCATTGGAATTGTTGCTTAACGTATGCGTCTATTCTTTAATGATACTGAAAATTCAATTTACCGTTATATGAACATAGAATGTATATTGCTCTATAGAGCACATGTGATATGCAACTTAATTATTGAAAAAACCTTTTAAGGGTGGTGGGCGATCTTTGTTTACTTTTTGAGATTTGACGATAAAGTTTTTACAAACAATTAAACATTTCAGACATGAAGCAACAGTGGGGGGGGGGGGCAGTCCCCCTGCCCCCCCCCCCCACTTTTTTCTCCAACCTTACTTCAACTATAGTAAATGTTCAGTGAAAGGCTAATTGCCCCCCACCCCCACTAATAGTGATGAACGGAAAATGTAGTGTAATAATTGGTACTGAAAGTAGTTGGCATTGAAAATAGTTCGCCCCCCCCCCCCCCAGGATTTTCGACTTTGTGCAAGTTTTCTCACCCCCCCCCCCCCTATTTTTGCCTTGTCAACTTTTCATGTAAGTTAAAAAAAATGCTCTGGCTGCCCCCCCCCCCTCTTAAAAAAAAGATGCTACGTGACTGCCTTTGAAATAATAAACAGATTAAATGGTGGAAGGGGGTGGGGGTTATGAATTACATGAGTCCTCTAAAGATAAATCATAACTTGAATTTTCAATTCAGCCCTTTGTAAAGAGCGTGTATATAGATAAGAAAATTCATAAAATTCAATAATTTGAAATAATATAATCATTTTTTCCTCGAATATACTTTTATTTTTGTATGATATATATGTGCGATATTTACGTGATATTTAACAAACACTTCGTAATCAGGTAATGGCGAAATATTTAACCTTCTTATATTTTAAATAATGTGCGTTTCTCTGAGCAGATTAATAAAGAATCAATTAATGTAGCATTTTACGGAATATTGTCAATATTAAGCTTATCATCGGATGTTATAAAACTTGTTAAAATAAAAAGAAAATAATTTCATTTAAATGAAAATTATATCCGTTTTATTTTTACTAATAATTGAATCAAAGATTCTATACCCCTATAACAAATGTGCTTAAACGGTTTCATAAATGTTTATAGTTAACAAAATTTGATGTGTATTATATTGATTTTGTATTTTAAAAAAAATTCTTTCGTTTCCAAATATAGCTTTTCAACATCACGTAAATATCTTGGTGTAAAATTAGCCCTCCAACCGCTTTTATTTCGAAGGAGGCCAACAAAACACAGTATGAAGTATGTAAATCAAATTGCGATTTTTAATAACTATACATTTTCATGTTTCAAATGACGTATAAAAGTGTTAATTTCAGTTCACTTAATTTTTTGACTTTTCCCAAGATCGAATTGCGACTATAAATTGAGAATGCGTGTTTAAAACGTTAACTAAAGGTACATTGATACTCTGATAAAAGAGATAACTCTTATCGATAATGACAGAAATGTCTATTATTCCTTTATAAATTTGTCAAGTTTAAGTTCCTTTTTTGTCAGATTTTGCCCCGCATGCCATGTATAATTGTTTGTATTTTATTCAGCATATAAAATTTCCTTTGGAGAATCATGAAAATTAAAGAAAAATTTCATATGAGTTAGCAGAGGGTTTATGAACCTAAAGCTCAAAGGACAGCTGATGAAAAACAAAAGGACTACAGTAACTGTAATTCATGTAAGCGTTATATTTTTAAAAAATATCTATATCGTCAAAACGAGTTAGTTATTACTTACTTGTATTCTGTACGACTGTCCGTCCGTCTGTTACACTTGGGGATACCCATCTCTTATCCGTAACTCCTCTAACACTACTGATCGAAGATCGAATTTGTCAATATAAATAAATCTTCTGGGAGGCGGGTGGAGTTATCATTTAGTGATCTCAGTGCTCACAGTGCCTTTGCTTTAGCTAAGCATGTTATACATTAAGAGATTGTCGTCTTAATTTTCAAATACAAAAAAAACTGAAGCAAAAGTAAGTATGATGGTGTTACAGTATACCGGTATATGTAATGATACAACAATGGCGGATTTAAGGGGGGCGCATCCGCCCCTAAAATTGTCAAAGTTAACGTAAATCACATTTGTCGAGAAAATGTTTTAAATGTCTACTCGGTAGATCTCATTTTTACCCTACAAAGCTAGAAAACCTCTAGAATCCATGAGTTTCCGGGGGCGCCCTCTGCCCCCCCCCCCCCGCCCAGGCTTTGCCTTGGACCCACTGGGCCCCCCAGACCCCCTGCCTAAATATTGCGTCCCCTAACTTCAATTCCTGGATCCGCCCCTGTACAATCAAACAATTTCTTTTCAACGAAAGTTATATTTCTGATACCTATACATGTATGTCTTTATTAATATTTGACAATTTGGTATATAAATTAAGATGAATATACTAGACTGCTCTTTTTGAATTCTATTTTTGACGAAGAAATCTGTCCTTTAAAATTCATAAAATTTACAGCTTAGTAAAAATTGTTCTTCAATGTTATTATAGCAAAACTGGCAGATTCTGTCTTGGAGTGGCTCCGATTTATGACGTCCAGCTTCAATTATGTTCCCCAAACGGAGTTTGGGAACATATTGTTTTTACTCGGTTTCTTATTATTAAGGTCTTCCGTTTTCACGGAAGACCTTATAGTGATTCTATTGTTTCTTATTATTATTATTATTATTCTTTTTTTTTTAGACAAAATTTTGTGCAGGCGATTTCTCGTAAACTATTCGGTGGAATTCAATGAAAATTTCAGGAATAATAGGTCACTATATGAATTTTATATAAAATTCCGTTTGTTGGAAAATCCGTTACCAGTGTCACGTTATGGGCAATTTCCTGATTTTAAAATGCAATTTTGTCTTCGAATGTTTTCGAAAACGGCTCAAGATATTAACTGGAGACTTGTTA